GAAGGAAAAAATCGTTATGTTACCTTCAAAAGGAGAGGAGCTTTCTTAGCAAACTTCGAACTGTCCAAGCTCTTTCTATGGTAGAAGATGAAGCTAAAATGCTAAAATTAAGCTCATAAATCATTTTTAACTACTAGCCATGGTGCCGGCGTGGAGTTAATGGCGGGAGTTTTTCATTTTTTATGGAGTCTTTCAGAGTTTCTTTCTCTATAAGACTTTTCAATAAGAAGTACAAAGGATGTCAGATGATTGCACAATTCCAAAAAGAAACAAAGGAACCGGCTATTCTAAGTTTTCGGTAACTCACCTAAAGTGATGGTGACGTGAAAAAGCCATTAAGCGGGTGTTCGTTGACGAGTGTTGGTGGCGATTGCCCGTAGCATTCCTCTATTGTGGTTACCAGAAAAAATACTATACTATTGACTACCTAGCTAGAGCTAGAGTACTTCACAAAGCTAGATTAATTACAGCCCTATAATTGTAAGGATCAAAAAGTACACGGAACAAGTTCTTAAGTCTTGCGATTCTTATATGATTAATCAAAAATTACATTCCCAACCGCAAGGTTGGTTTCGAATCTCCATTTTAAAAATTGTAATATGTTAAAAAAAAAAAAAAAAACGGAATGGGAGAACTTTAGTTTCACTACCTGAATGAAATTTCATAATAATCAAATGCTAAGAATCTTGAGAAAATTTTCTAAACAAAATCAACATCATAATAATTTTTTGACTTTTATTTTTTAATGTGAATTTGCTACAAGTTGGTGATACATAACCTCATTATTCTAGACTAGAAGCGTTGTCCAAAAATTAAAAAAAAAAAACGTTACTTTTGTATGCAAGTTTAAACATTATAATTAAATTATTTCTTTATAAATATTATTTAGTTTAAGGTTTTAAATTTTAAAATTACTACTTTAAAAAACTTATATTTTTTAATACATTATGTCAATCTAAGTATTGTGCCTTTAAGAACCAACCTCTTTTGGGTTTAATAATTTGTACCAAATTTTAATATTTCAATTTAATTAGTTAAAAATTTAATTTTTATTAATTATTTTATAAAATCATCTATCCTCTCGTAATTCCTTATATTCAAAAAAAAAAATTACGCCTCTAAACCTATTTAAAATTATCTAAAATAAGTCGACTTAAGAAGGCTACAACTGTTTCAACCAAAAAAGATATCCTACTATATATATAAATATTTATATATATAGTAATTATATTATTATATATTCTATATATTTTTATTTTAATTATGTAAAAACAAAAATCAAGTTAGGAGCTGGGACCCATCCCAGAGGTGGGTGGTTAATGTGGATATTGTTATGACGTACATCCTCGTCATTTGACTTAACAATCAATATCTTCATCCATGTTGAGTTGCGCACCATTAAGACAGCCCATTTCTATCGAATTACATCTCGCCACGTACTTACCGTCACAGGATGTCCCACGGCATCCCCATCCCCAATTCCCCATCCCGTCATACTCATACATAAACAAAGACGACTCCCACCCTATTTCCTCTCCATACCTACCTTCAATTTTCACAGACCCAATTTACCATGCAATCGCATCCCCCACGCAACGACGGCGATCGCACGCTGGAGGATGACTCTCACGCCATCGTCACCCGCCGTATCCAGCGGCTCTCGTCGCATCTCACCATACCGGTATCGTCGCCTCATCAGTCTCAGCTCCACATGTTGACGTGTGCCAGGGCTAAGCTGGAGGTGGACACCCGTGCTCTATCGAGCTTGATGAGGGGGAAACACAGGGAGATTCAAGAGAGGGTGTTTATGTTTTTCGACTCCAGGCCCGATTTGCAGACCCCAATTGAGATTTCGATGAAGGATCACAGAGAACTCTGCATGAGGCAGCTCCTGGCGCTGGTCAGAGAGGCTGGGATCAGGCCTTTTAGATACGTTGTTGAGGATCCAGCTATATATTTTGCCATTGCTGAGGCGGTTGGGAGCGTCGATATGTCGCTTGCAATCAAGATGGGGGTTCAGTACAGGTCAGAATTTCCTCCTCTGTCTCTATCCCTTTGTGCCTGAATGCATGCATTGCGTGTATTCAAATTATAATTCATGGGTTTTAGGCTTTGAGTTCTCAAGCAAGCAATTGTGAATTTTGATCATTCTTTT